CTCATACTTTTTAAAAGTATAACGTCTATAATTTAACTATACCATAACATAAGTCATAAATATATAATAATAATCAGTTATAGTTTATATTCATGAATCTAAAATTATATAAAATATTTTTATTGATAAATCACTAATTTATATAATAACATTAACATAAGTAACAAATATATTATAGAATTTGAAATAAATTTTTTAAAAAATAATACGTCATTTTATCGAATCGGATCGGAAAATTTTATAATATTGGCCGATAACCGATATTTTAAAAAGATATCGGTCCGATCAAAATATAAAAAATAAAATTAAGTCATTTATTTAAAATGTTAGCTGAAGTTTTAAATTATATTTTTTTGTCTGGCTTGGCCAGAAAATAATTTTCCCAGCCCAACCCGGGCTTTGCAGATCTCTTTGCATTTACAAATTTTCAATAAAAATAGTAAACATTATTTTATTTCAAAAATTGTCCACTTAAATAAACAGTAAATTCCTGATTACAGGCCTGTATAAAGCCTAATTCATGTTTCCAATATTTTTTCCTATTAGAATTTAATTAAAAAACATGATTAGTTTATTTCAAGTTTTATTTGTTGAGTTAGATTTGTATTTCTTGTTCAGAAAGTTTATGAAGAACAATTCTTAAATACAACTAATAATTATCCCTATATTTCCTAATTGCTGCTTCTTAATATTAATGTTAAATTCGTAAATATAAGTTTAAGATTTAAATATTATATCATAAATCTATTTTCGGAAATGAGAAATACATAAATTTATATAGCATTGAACACGGAAAAGATTTAAGAACTTTATTAACAATGATGAAACTAAAAGTGCCCATAAATTATATAAAAATATATTGAATATATTAAAATTTTTAAAATGGGTAACCGTGCCACCAACTTATTAGCCATCAGCGAATTCGGCAGACCGATAACTGCCGAAGAAATAAAATAAAATGCCGTCGCTGATTGGTTTACATTATAAAATATATAAAAGATTCTTATAAGTTTTCATTGAAACTAATTATTATTTATTATATTAAAATAAAAAAATTACAATTGTATTATCAAACAAAATATACTCATCAAGAAGAACGGGTTAAATAATTTTCATATAAAATTTATTTTATAAAATTCAAATGTTATTTTATATCCTGATTTTAGGGTGCCCCTTTCAATGAAGGTTAATCAGGATGTGAGATTCCAGACCGTTCCACAATCAGGGTTGCCATGTCTCCCCCCATCAGCGGGAGACTCCCGCATTTTTTTAGTTTACACGCAGACATCTCACTCCTGCAAAACTACTGCAATTGGAAATCTCCCGCAAAAATCTACCGCAATTTTATAATTTCTCCCGCATTTTTTTAATAGTATTTTAACGTTTTTAATATATAAATAATAATTTTGAGAGACATTAATTGATTTTTATATTTTTAAAATAAATTTTAAATATTATTCTAAAAACATGTCTAGTTTGTAAATTTCTTTCTATCCTGTTTTATTTTTATCCAATAATAAATCAACATCATTTCATTCATATAAGTCAGTACAGGGGAGTATATCAACATCGATTGCAATACAAAAATATTCTCAGAAATAATAAATAAAACAGATGCAACTACATTTGCGGAAATCGTATACATCTATCATGTAGTTCAACATTCACAGAGCTGTATCATCACAATGTGGGTCGAATCTTTTTTTCATGATGTTTACGACTTCAATATAAGTGCAAACCTTACTTCTGGCAGAACAAAAATGAGCAAGGCTATCACAAGTGTTTTAGTACCTGAATCCTAGAGGTCAATTCTAGACGATTTGAAAGATGGGCATCCATATGAAATTCTATAGCAATTTCAACAAGAATAAGAACATTTCAATAAAACTGTTAAAATTTTTACCTCGGATAGTGAAAAATCCAACGATGTAACTAGCCACACAATGGTAAATATAGCTGATTCAGGGTTATCAATATTTTGCATGTCAGCTTTCTGCGCTGATAATGCCTCTGTAAATTTTGGAAAAAACCAAAGTTATCGAATTAGGCAGCACAATAATGAATTAATACCAATTGGCTGTATATGTCATATACTACATAATTCTTGCAAGAAGACAATTATGCACTATCTGTGGATGTCGAAATAATTGTGATGAAATGTTTTAACGAATTTAGTTCATCAATTAAAAGAGTTAATGAATTAAAAAAGTTAATGAATTAAAAGAGTTGGTGAAGTGGTCTGACTTGGAATGGTGTGAGTTGTTGCGATATATACCTATCAGGTGGTTGTCATTAATATCTGCCATCGATAGAATTTTAAAATTTTACAAACCCTTAAAAAAATACTTCTTAAATAAAGATTTTAAAATCTGTCCTAAAATTTTGAAAAATTTTTTCGAGTATGAAATGGCAGAAGCATATTTGGGATTCGTTTCACATGTAGGAAATCTACTTCATGCAGTTAATATTCAGTTGCAATCAGAATATTCTTTATTAAAAAAGATTCACAAAATCATGCCACAGCCTTTTTCATCTCTACAGTTAAAAATTGATAATACATTTTATGGCGCTATTGCTAAAAATATTATAATAAAATGTTCAGATAATACTCTAATTAATACATTTTTAAATGAAACATATATTTTTATTAACACAATTTTAGAATATTCAATCAAAATTTGATTTTAATAACTCTATTTACAAATGTATAAATATTATGACCTTGAAACAGAAACCATCAATTGATGGTTTTTGTAAATTAATAAATAAAATATATTAAAAATACCGAAAGACATTGATGTCGTGTTTGGGGAGATTGTAATTCTCTCTATTTTTATGATTCGCCAAAATACTTAAAGTTAGATGGTCTAAAAGCAGAGGAGAAATGGGTAGAATTTTTTCGTAATAACGATAAATCCTCATGCTTGGAAAAAATATGCGAGTATGTCTTCTCCTCACCTAATTCTAATGCCTCATCCGAGCTCATTTTTAGCATGATGAGGACTGCCTGGAAAAAGGGAAGAAATCGGGTTGCTTTAACAACATTAGAGGCCGAGCTAATGGTTAAACAAATATAAAATATGTCATGCCAGGAATTTTATAAATAGCTCAATAACGACGGTAAACATTTAATTCTATTATTTAAATCTCAAATAAAATATAATTAAGTTTTAGCAATGGCGCCATAAAATTTATTGTCAATTTTTAAATGTAAAGACGAACACATCTTCAGCATAATTTTGTGAATCTTTGTTAAGATTCTTCTGATCGCAACTACACATTAACAGCATGTAGTAGATTTCCTACATGTAAAATCATTCCTAAATATACCTCTGCCATTCATTATTGAAAAAAATTTTCCAAATGTTAGGACAGATTTTATAATCTTTATTTAAGAAATATTTTTTAAAGGTTTATAAAATTTTAAAATTCTAACGATGGCTGGTATTAGGAACATATCGCAACCAACATTGTGCTGACTCATTTCTGTATATACACTACACTCTGCTTTTACCAAATTCACTGAGGCATTATCAGATCAGAAAGCTGACATGCAATTTATTGATAATCTCGAATCTGCTATATTTACCATTGTATGGTTAGCTATTGTCTTTGGATTTTTCACTATTTGAGGTGAAAAAATTTAATGGTTTTATTGAAACGACCTTAATTTTGTTGAAATAGCCGAATATTTCCCTTATTAGATGCATCTGTTAGAATTGCATATGTATGCCCATCTTTCAAATTATCAATTGACCTCCTGGATTTAGGTCCTAAAACATTGATGATAGCCTTGCTCATTTTTTTCATTTTATTAAAGTTAAATAATATGGGAAAAAGATTCTACCAACATTGTGATGATAAGTATCTCTGTGAATGTTGTACTACAAAATAAGTGATTAATTGCCGCAACTGTAGTTGCATCTGTATTATTTCTTATTTTTGGAGTACCTTATTACCTATTTAAACGTGATACGTGATAATTAAGCGCCTTTCCTATAATGTTGTACACACACACGGTAGATTTCCAATTGCAGTCGTTTTGCGGGACATTCGGATAAAATATATTTTTAATTGTAAAATTAAAATCGTTTTTTTTATAAAATTTTATCTTGTTTACATTCTTTTATATTTAAAAAAGATCGTTGGTTTTTATTATAAATTAATATATTATAATTAATCAAGATGTTTTTTATTTTGAAAAATAGTTACCGACTTTGTATTTATATAAACTATTTTAAAAGATAATAGGCGGATAATTAAGTCAATTCAAAATTCCGGCCGAAGGCCGGCCCAAAAAATTTTTTTTAGCAATTTTTATATTTCTACCGCAATTTTCATAATTCTCCCGCATAATACCAAATTTCTCCCGCAATTTGAAAATTTTGACCTGGCAACCCTGTTTACAATCCTAAAACATTTTTTAAGAAAAGTGGTTGGTTGCATTCAAATGCTTTAGGAACTAAATAGAATATAGTTATTTTATACCATCTTCTGGGCAGATTTAGTTGTCAAAATAAGATTCCACTCGGTTTCTAAACTGGATTTGAAATCCGCCCATTTTTTAAATAAAAATCTGACGGTTTAAACTGGGGAGGTTGATATCAATTTTTCGAAAAATAGAGTTCTTCCCTTAAATTTTAGAATATTAAAGCATTGTACAATCATAATGAAGTTAACCCTCAGGAGATTAGGTGAAGAAACGTAAGTAGTTAGATGGGGTTTAGCATACTTACATTTTAAAACTGTTATAGCTCATTCAAATTTAAATGCGAAACTTCGATAATTTTATTAAGTTATTAATTAATTAAACATAAAAATTGAAGATTTAATAATAAATAAGAAAAATTTGTAAAGCTAAAGAGTGTTAATAAAATAAAGGAAAATTGTCATAAATATTATATTTCATACTTTTACTATAAAAATCTATTTAAACCTACACTAATCAAAAATAAAATTTAATTTATGTTTTTTAAAATTATTATTCAAGTTTAACAAACTTTAATAAAGGTTAAATTGTCATTGAGTGAAGGCGCTCTTTTAATATTTATGTTTTGGTATGATTTCAATTCTTCTGATATATCTTTTATATACTCTATATCCATCTCATGCAATGTCTCTATATGGTCGCTCGTAAATGCTATAGGTACTAATAAAATATTTTTATGTCCCCTTTTAACTAAGCTTCTTATGACATCATCAGTAAATGGGGATAACCATTCAACAGGTCCAACCTTTATCGTTCATTATTTAAATAAAATATAACATATTTTACTTTTGATTGCCACACTAATCTATACGGATTACACCATTTTAATTCATTCATAACAAGGTTAACGGTTGCTGAAACTTCGTATGGGTATAGATCCCCTCTTTTAACAACCTTAAACAATATTAAATATTTATATGTCAACAAATTAATGCGTTTGGCTATAATATAATAAATGATTTACAGATAAAGGCAATGAATGGGCTGAAAATAATATCACAACTTCTTTTCGTTTGTCAATTGAAAATTTATTTAATTCGGATTTAATGTTTTCAGAAAAAGCCTAGATTATATATAATATATATATAGCTCAAATATTAAAAACTTTTATTAATCCTGGGTGACTATGCCACCTATCAATTACACTCCATTTAATATTTTCGACTAAATTTTTGTTTGCATTACAAAATTTGTAGATGGCATTTAAACTGGAACCAGTTGTAGAGCAGCAATATTGTGGATATTGTGAAAACACTATAACTCTATCAATTCCATCTCTTTTAAATTATTTATATGAAAAACATGTATAATTATTCAAAATTTATAAAATAATCTTAATATTGTTTTTATAGCCTATAAATTGAAGCGTTTCTTTTAGCGTTTTATTTCAAATGGTAATGTGCAAAGCAAATTGATAAAAAAAAAATTTGTTTTAAAAAAGAGCAAAATAGTTTTTATTTTTAACATTTATTGTTATACATATTTTAAAAAAATATCACTTCAATTTAAAGAACAAAACGTTTATAACTAAAAGATATTTCTCAATTTGTAATATTATATCTGGAATAGAGGTTTGTATGGGCCGAAATTTTGTAGGCATTCCTGCCCAAATCAAAAATTAAATTTAAGCCCGGCCCAGCCCTTCAGTCTAAAGGAATAATTTTAGTTCAGGCCGATAAAAATATATAGCTCTGACCCAACCCGCCATCTAAAATAATGGGTATTACTAAAAAAGCATCCATATCATAAAAATGGAAGTGTTCAGCATCTCAATGTAATGTGATTTAGAAAATAAAAGAAATATAGAAGTAAATTATAAAAACCGAAAAAAATAATTGTTTAAATAAATTGCGCCGAAAACCTATACAATGACAAATATTAGTCTAAAAATTTAAGGGACAGGGTTTATTATTTGCCAGTTTGTATTTGTTTTTCTGTGCAATTTTTTGACATTTTACCTTTGTAATTTTAAACTAATATTTTCCAGGTCAGATTTATCTGATAAACCATTTCCTTTTTTGAATAATGAACCAATTTGTATGAATGTGTAGTTTAATCAAACCCAAAAGATATGTTTATAAATTATGGGTGATTAATTGTGAATTACCTAAACATATATAGCTAGACCTGTGCGCTGACAGCATTATCAGTGGCGACGTTTCTTTTTTTAAAACGATCGACTGGCAGCGCCACAAAAATCGGCGGCGGCGCCAAAAATCGGCGGCGGCGCCAAATATTTTTCTAACTTAAATTTTTTAATTGAAATTATAAATTCACTGGAAACACTTTTAAAGTAAAATTTATGCTTTTATGTTTATGACTATAATTTAACGATTTTATTAAGTTATAATTATCATGTATAAATATTATTTTATTTAGATTTATAGGACATAATGGCGATCTTTTAAAGTTCAGAGTGAGCCCAGCTATGGAAAATACACGCTCGCTGGGTGTGCTCAAGCTCATAGCTGGAATGCGCAGGACCTTTCTAGTTAGTATTGAAAGTTTAGGAAGATCCAATACTAGTATCTCTCTAAAATCTAAGACATCTTTTATCTCTAAATTAAGATGAAAATAATGAATAACACTCTTTTTCTAGACTAGTTAAATAGTCTTGTTGTTATAGATTATTGTTATGAATAGATGAATGATTGGTAGCCAATGACTTAAGATAATCGAATTCTGAAGCAACTTTCGTTTCACATTCGGTTAATTCGTCAGTGTAAGGCAACAGAGAGGTAGCGTGTTGACATAAAAATACAGGGTATTGTAATGCTGCATCCGTCATAATTTTTTTAGTCATATATATATTATAATGGCAATAGAATAAAAATTATTAATTAAAATTTCCTTTTATGATAAAAAATAAATTTTATTTGATGAGTTGTAGATTGCATTAAGAATATTGTATTACTCCTTATATAACAATTGATGGTCTTATACAAAAGATATGAAACATCAAAAATTAAAAGAATAAAATATATAATAATATTTCAATACCTTTTCTATAAACAACTAGCCTACTAACATACCATCTTGTTAAAAATCAAATGCTTTTATAGCAAATAATATTTAATACTATTTTTCTTCTAATTACAATTCATAAATAATATATTAAATAAATATTATTTTTAAATAAAAAATATGTATCAGGCGCCATGCCGCCGAATTTTTACATCGACGGCGGCGTGTTGACACCGGCACTTTTTTGGCGGCGGCGGCGTGGTCAAAAATCACCGGCTGCTTATTTGACCGGCGAAGCACAGGTCTATAAATAGCAAATAAATTAACTCAAATTTTAAGTTTAAAAAAAATAAAACCATAAAAATCATTCAAAATTTATATTAAAGCCCAGCCCCTAGTTCATTTTTAATTTTGGCAAGCTTGACCTACGCCGAGTTCTGATTTGGCCTGCCAGAGCTGTGGCCAATGCATCCCCACTGTAAATCTTCTCAAAGTTAGAGTCTACAAATTTTTTAAATTTGCAAACTTGGATTTAAATTATTAAAAATTCAGGCCAGATCCGGGTTTTTTTTTAAAAAAATTTAATTGGGCCGGACTAAACATAATTCAAAAAAATAAATAATGTTTTTGCCTCTTTTATTAAGATAAATTGATAATTAAAATTTCCCTGAGATTAAGATAAATAGTGATTTATATTTTTTATACATTTACACTGTAAATTCTCCACACAAGATAATGTGCGCTATCAACGTCCAACTAAAATAAGCCAACATCTCTAAAAATTCTAGGCCTGGACAATCACTGGTAAAAGACCAGATGGGTTACTGATCCTCTAGAAGAGGTTACCACTTGTAAGGCATACATGTGCTCTACGTGTTTGCTAAATTCAACATACATTAAGATTGCCGTTCCTCATTAAAAACAAAAATAACATACTCTTCTATAAAAAACAAACAATATGCTCTCATTGTCATATTCACGTTGGGCAATTTCGGTAACGAGGCATATCACACAAAAAATAGATAAGTAAATCTATGCTCTCTTTAATGAGCCCAAGATTTTATTTCTGTCAAAACATCGTTAGGAGATATGCCATTATTTTAGTTTTGAATAATTATTGTTTATCCATATATGTTGGCATGGCTTAAAGTAATAATAATTAAAATATTAGATCGGGCCTGTCAAAAAAAATTTGAATTTGCACAGTAAGCAAATTATGAAAAACCTTTAATTCAATTTTAAATTCCGCCTCAGCAAACAAATTCCAGTTCTAATTTGGCCTATTCAAAAATGAATCAAATATTCTGTCAAATCGAATAATTTAAATATTCTATGAATAATTAATTTTATTAATTTTCGATTCAAATTATTCTCAATTATTAATGTTTTTAAAGCAATCATGCCTTTTCTATTGATAACCTGTCAATCTGAGGTGTGATCTAATTAACAAGATACATTTTTGTAAATGGCCTAAGAAGAAACAGTAAGGAAAATTCTGTCTTAAAATTTGTTGGCATAGCATTAAATCAATATGTATTTTAATTTTGTCAATATCTGATGATATCAACAGATTGTTACAATAATTTTTTCTGTTTAAAATTAGACATGCAATAAAAAAAAAATTCAAATTCTGTCAATATATTTTCATGAATTATTTATATTAGGGCTGTGCCGATCCAATCTGATATTGGTTCAAAACCGATCCAATATTTATATTGATTTTTCACCCCCTCCCCTTGAACCAAATGTAATTAAGAAATCAATATTTTGTATTCAAATAATCAAATTATACATTTAATTTAATTTTTTTTTATCTATATAATAATTTAGAAAGTTTAAGGATATTGGTAGTATTAAATGAATTTTTCATTATTCCTCCTTGTGAAATTAGTTTCGCAGATAATGCATTTTGCAAAATTATATTTGTCTTTTGTAAAATATTTACATAATTTACTACCATATTTAAAAAAAAATTTTATTTAAAGATTTAAAATAAATAAAACTTTGGGTGTTCCTTTCTATTTTATAAAATTAAAAAATAAATAAAATTTAAGGGGTGTTGTGCATTTGCATTGTTAAAAAAAAATTATTTAGAAAAAATTATTAATATAAAATAAATATACTTAAAATAACAAAAAAGAGAAAAATAAAAAGATCGGATCGGTTGATGACAAGTATCAGCCCAATCCGATATTCTTGGAAAACCTCACATATCAGTGCCAATCCAATATTTAATATTGGCACAGCCCTAACTTATATAAAAAAACAAATTCAAATCAAATATAAAAAGTGCACTAGTTGATTCACATTTGTTTTTGAACAGGTCTAGTTCTAACCTAGTCTTTTAATTAAAAAAATTGTCCAATTTTTTTTAAAAAAATGGTAAACATCAGTCCTGATGTAATATTTAATATAAGCAAGGTAAATTGATAGTATGTGATATTACCCTATACATTGTTACTTCTAGGGAGACAGACTACCAAAACACTATGTAGTCAATTCCATAATAGTAAGAACTTTGAAGACTTATATTCCCCCCTCTCTTGAGCCCTCCACACCAAACAAGATGTGGAAATAAGGGTATGGGATTATACCTGATTGGATCACTTTACAAAATCTGAGACTCCCTCTTTAGGATTGAAAACGCCAAAAACAATAAATACAGGACCTTAAACAAACTTACTTTTGTTCTAGTAGTCTCAGATATTAATGATTTATTTAGACCATATTCTCTCCAGTTTAAAAATTAGGATAAATATTAAATTTATTTCAAGGGGCTCAATTTAAAATTTTTAAAATTAACAAACATGGAATTTGTTAGCAAAAATGCAACGAATGCCTCATTTATTGTAAGCTCATATATCTTTGGGTATTTTTCAAAGCAAATAAGTAGAATTTGTAATGACTGCACTACAATGTTCTAGATTATAAATTCTATCTATTATTATTTTAAAAAAATACCCAGCGATGTGTGTTGTGTTGCTTGAGAGATTCATGCTTAATATAAATGAGGCCTAATACTTGTGATAAAAATTTGACATGAGCCTTGAATCCTTGCACCCCCCCCCCCCACCCCCCATAACAATAATCTAAAATTTTTTATATAAATATAAAAAGGTTTATATTAAAATTATAAAATGTAACTTAGCCATATCAATGATAGCATTTTCAGTTAGTGGATCAGCATATCTAAATCCTATATAATGTTTAATATCAGAAAAATTTAGGTCCTTACAATTGAGCAATTTGTCTTTATTCTGTACTAATATAAATTTAATAATTAAATAATAATACTTGTAAGAAGTTATATATCATCCCTTCACCTTGAATGTTTGACCACTTATAAATTGGTGATTTACCACCAATTATCTGATAGTGTTTTTTAACTTTTGGAGCTCTTATTTTTGCAAGAAAGGCACCAAAATATCTTTTTTAATTTTTAATGTGGTTTTAAAAAAAATGTGAATATTTACAATTTAAATAATATTTAATACTTTTGAAAAGGCAATTTCATTATATCTTTATCTGTAAAGATGCGACTAAGATAATTTTCAACTTCTGATAAGAATTTAGGTCCACCCATATTTATCATCAATACCCCTATTTTATTATTACTTCTATGAAAATATAAAATATGCAGCATTATTTCATTTTACTTCATTGTGCACTAATGACTAACATGAACAAAAACTAATTTGTCAATCATTTAACAGCAGTGCGAAAAATGACAAAATATAAATACATATTCGGAAAAGCAAAACATTTTTAGATTAAACAACCTAGAGCAGCGGCGAATTTAAATGACCCATAGAGATGAAACGAATCCCGAGGTAAAAATAAATTAAAATAAGAGAATTACGATTTTAATCTTTAATGGTTACCAAATGTCCATTTATATATAAATTAGGTGTTAAAAAGTCAATCAGACTCTTTTTATTCTCTCCCAACCCCCCCCCCCCAGTCTTTAAGTCCACTCAGTGTCTACATGACCGGAGATGGAAGGGTAGGATATCAATACCTCCAAAATATATTGGCATTTTGGGGAGTATGTATTGCTTTTGTAGGGTAGATATTGATTTTTGGGTGGAATTTTTGGGGGTAGGTATTGATTTTTGAGGGTAGTTTTTAACTAATTATACTTTTATTAAATTCAATATTTGATATGATTATGATTTTATAGTTGATTCACTCTGACAAATGTCAATTAAAGAAAAGAGTTCAAATAAATTATAAAAACTAAAAAATTTTATCATTTATTTTATTTATTTTTTTGGTCATCGGTTTAGATTTAAAAGATGTTAATAAAGAAAATAATTATAAATATCAAGGAAGGAGAATGAAAAAAGAAAGCATGATGAGGCATGGAAGATTATTCGATGGAACTAGCCTCTACATTATAGAATATTCACTAGATGCAAACCCCCTTCAAAAACAATAGCTACCTCCCTATTGCATCTTGTACAGCGATATTTCTACATTATTAATTATAATATTTTTCATAAATTTTGAAAAATTAAAATTATTAATGCTTTTATTAACAACTAGTGTTGTTAATTAGTCGAGTTCTTTCGACTACGACTAATAGTTGTAATCATGGAAATAGACTAAAAACTTTAGCGACTAAATTATTCCATTAGTCGACTAATTTAGTCGATAAAAACGACTAATATAGTAGACTAAAACGACTAATATAGTCGACTAAAAAGATTAATATAGTCGACTAAAACAACTAATTTAGTCGACTAAAACGACTAATTTAGTTAACTAAGTTGATTTTTAGTTAGCAGCATATATAGGTAAAGGTAAAAATATATATTGTAAACATATTAAGTTAAAATAATCGTTATTTTTGAACTTTTTGAATTTTTTCAAAGCAAATAGGTAAAAATATATATATTGTAAAGATGTTAAAATAAAATTTCAGTGAAGATGTACCATAGAAAAGTGACAATTGTCATACATAATCGTTATTTGTGAACTTTTTCAATTTTTTTAAAACAAATAGGTAAAAATATATATTGTAAAGATGTTAAAATAAAATTTCAGTGAAGATGTACCATAGAAAAGTGGCAATTGTCAGAATCGTTATTTTTAAAATTTTTTGAATTTTTTCAAAGCAAATAGGTAAAAATATATATTGTAAAGATGTTATATTAAAAATTCAGTAAAGATGTACCATAGAAAAGTAACAATTGTCATAATCGTTATTTATGAACTTTTTTGAATTTTTTTAAAGTAAATAGGTAAGAATATATATTGTAAAGATGTTAAAATAAAATTTCAGTGAAGATGTACCATAGAAAAGTGACAATTGTCATAATCATTATTTTTCAACTTTTTTGAATTTTTTTAAAGTAAATATATGTAAGAATATATATTGTAAAGTTGTTAAAATAAAATTTTAATGAAGATGTACCATAGAAAAGTGACAATTGTAATTTTTTTCTGTAAACTCTTCTATTTTATTTTATAAAAATAAAATAAAAAACAACCATTAATTATTCATTATTGTGTTATATTATAGTTGTTCTTTGAGCGACAATTTTATTTTATAATATATATTAAAAATAATTAATATATTCTATTCCCCTGTATAATCATCTTGACCAATTAAAACAAAATATTCTGGTATATCAGGTGTAAGTGATATTCAAAAATTAAAGAAATCTTAATATAGCAAAAAGTAACATCTCCCCAATTATAAATCCACCTTAACATCCCAACCTTAAAATTGAATTTAGTTGGCATTACAAATTGAAGCAATTTATAAATTCATCTTAGCATCATCCATCAAGATGGTTACAGCACATTATTATATCTTCAAGCATTTATGACATTTGACACTCTTTTTAAAGAGAAACAATAGAGATATAAAGTAACATCTTCTACAGCAACCACAAATTCACCTTAACATCATCATTATGTCACCCAACCTCATAAAATTGAATCCAGCAATATAACAGAAAAATTACCATATTCATGGACAGTTCATAAATGGCTTTAAAAAGAAGTATTAATTTCTACTCCCCTGTATAATCATCTTGACCAATTAAAACAAAATATTCTGGAAGAATTGGCAAATTTTTCATGAAAGTTAAAAATCAAATTATAATTACCAATATAATGTGACCTCATATTCTCTAAGTAGAAAACAACAGACTAAATAGATAATACCAACTAACAAAACCTATTTGACTATTCATTTATTATATCAATGACCAATTGAAATAACCTTAATCAAGCAACTCCATCTTTTTTTATACACATCAGAAGTAACATCTCCCCAATTATAAATCCACCTTACCATCCCAACCTTAAAATTGAATTTAGTTGGCCTTACAAACTGAAGCAACTTATAAATTCACCTTAGCATCATCCATCAAGATGGTTACAGCACATTATTATATCTTCAAGCATTTATGACATTTGACACTCTTTTTAAAGAGAAACAATAGAGATATAAAGTAACATCTTCTACAGCAACCACAAATTCACCTTAACATCATCATTATGTCACCCAACCTCATAAAATTGAATCCAGCAATATAACAGAATGTTGTAAAGGAAAACTAATTGGAATCTTAACAACAATTATGTACCAACAATAAATCCGGTCTATTTTCTCTATTAAATCAAACATGTCTTCAAGAGGATTCAATTCCAAAGAAAGGGATAATTTAACTTCAAACATTAATATTCAAAAGTCTTCTCAATCCACCCAATTTAGACTCAAGGATTGCCTCCCTTTTTTTTCACCAGAAGTTATCTTACTTTCTTCTTTTTTTTCAATACTTATTTTTAAAACTTATTAAACAACTTGTTTTTAAAAATAACTTTTAACCTTCAATTAGTTCAACACTTATAATATATCAATAAATTTACATATAGACTTTTTAATATTTAACATTATAACCAATTTAACACTTATTTTATACATTCACGAATTTCCATACTGATTCATCTTATAACATTTAAATATTCAATAAATTCACAAATTTTTTTAAACAACATTTAGCTTTCAATTAATTTAACACTTATATATATATTTATTCTTTCTTTCATTCACAACTATAATCACATATTCTCTTTTTACATGCACATTTTTTCTTTGTACACATTTATTCCTCACAATTGAACCAAATTAATTTTTTTTTCTTTTTACTTTTTCATTTATATACTCTTCAAGACTCAAATTCTCTCACATTCCTTTTTATATCCCCATTAATACAAAATAATATTCCTTCTCCCTTTCATAAACATACCCAAAATAATTTTTTTTTCTCCCCTTTTATATATTGTTTCTTTTTAACAACATTCAACATTTCAACTAATTTAACATTTACATATATATATATCTTTTTATTCTTTCATAATCACAACTCTCTTTTTACATGCATAATATTTATTTTTTTTTATTTGTACACATTTATTCCTCACAATTGAACCAAATCTTTTCTTTTTTTTTTACTTTCTTATATATATATTCTTCAAGACTCAAATTATCTTACGTTCCTTGTAATATCCCCATTAATACAACATAATTTTTCTTTTCCATTTCATAAACATACCCTAAATAATTATTTTTTTTTCTCCCTTTTATATATGTTCCTCAGTTTTTCAATCTTTTATTTACTTTAACCATTACATTTATTAAAACAAATAACCAACCTCTATCAAACACCAACCAACCCCAACAACCTTTATGCCCATTCTTTCCTCTCATATTTAATAACCTTATCTTTACAACATCTTTATTCTCTGCAGATTATTTCTTCCTAGTCTCTGTCACATCCCCATTCTCAACACAATTATTCACAACCTTTCTTTATCCACACAATGGAACGCTGCCCCACGTGTTCCAAAAACATAAAAATCACCAAATCCGGCCTTTTCACCAAGCACAAATCCAAAGGCAGTGCTTGTCCTGAGTCTGGAAAGCGTCCTTCCCCTCCCTTCCAAAATCCCCTCTCCATTTTTTCTACTCACAGTTATACTTCCACCTCATCCAATAACGCCCACATACCAACCACATCAGACACATTCATTTCCCTCCCACCTACCACTCACGTCGACATCATTAACTTTCTAAAATCCGACAAACCTCGAATTATTTCTAGAATTCCCAAAGGCTCTAGAATACAAGTAGCCAAAGCTCTCTCTACCTGTCTTCATTCACTATTAAATAACTTTTCCTCTCTAGATCATTGGCTCAAACTTTTTTCATTTTCTTTCACGACTCTCCAACCTCCCAATCCTGAGATTCACAAATCTTTAACCCAACAAATTAAAGACGCAACCATACACCCCCTCACCCTCATATCCACTTTTTCTCCTCATAATTCTAAAAAACTTTCCAGCCTCCAATTAAAGGCTAAGATAATTTCTAACAAAATAAACAATCTAAACATCAAATCTGCTCTCCGCTTACTAGCATCTGACGACTCAATTGCAACCAGTAATGAGGAGAGCTACAACAAACTTAAACTTAAGCACCCTCCTAGAGGTGACCTCATACCTCCTCCTCCACCCAACATATTTCCCACTAATTTCACCCCCGTCGAGGTGCGCAAAAGTATCCTATCCTTTCATCACGACTCCTCGCCCGGGTATG